TTAATGTACTGAAAATTACTGAGAAAGATAATGAAATTTAAGATGTGCTTTTGATGTTGAATAAGTCTCTGGAAAATTCAAAATTTGCTGTTGGAGATCCAGTGACTGTGGCTGATATTGCTTTGGCTGCTTCCATTTCGGCCTTTGAGGTATATTTTTAACGACTTTTTTTACACATCATATTGTTAAACACATGAGCACAAGTTTAAGACTCATTTTCTTATATTCTCCAGGCTGTCGAAGTTGATTTGACGAAGTTTACCAACATTTCTACATGGCTAGTAGAGTGCAAACAAGCATTGAAGGGTTACGATACAGCCAATCAAGGGGGAATAGATGAAGTCAAAATCATATTCGAAAAAAAGAAGGAGAAGGTTTTTTAGGAACATGCATAAAATAGTTTATTACGACAGTCAACGCACGTGTCAACGGTTTGTCCACTATTACTTCAAGGCAAACAATTGTGTCTGATTGACAAGCCAAAGAAAACACTTTTGTGAATTATCATAAATTACTTAAAACTAATGCAATTTATTATTTAACTATTCCGATAATAATGCTCTTCATGACTCGTGATTTTTAAGTACGCTCGAGAATAATGTCGCAACAATATCAATTATTTGGATAGTTAAATATTTTAACAATAATGTCGATTTACAAAACAGTTAACAATTAACACATAATATTCTGATAATTATCAACGTTTAAAATTATTGAATAAATTTACACTATAAATTGTATTTTAAGATGGATAATGTTTTAAATACGATCGTATATACATCTTGAAATAGTGGACTTTTTGTGGGAATAAATTCCAATATTTCTACAAAATGAACCCTCTGAATAGTGGACAAAATTTTAGCGACATGAAATTTGCAGTATTTAAAGATATCACTGTGTTATAACGACAAGACCATGACATTATCGTTTTAGTTTAGATAGTCACTATATGACTAACATTAAATCTCCAGTTTTTGGAAAGATATTCATCTTAAAATCATGCTCGTAAAACCGTAAGCAGTCTCTCAAATAATGCCCAAGATTACGTTACCCATCGAGCTATGTTTTCCGTGCCGACCGCTAGTTTTGTTTGTGTAAAATAGTTGACTGTAGTAGATATTAATCCTTTTATTGTTTTTGTCCTTAAGTTGTACTTTTATGTACAATAGTATATTATTATTTTGTACAAACTATAATAATCTACATTTGAACAATGATTACACAACTACTCACACGGTTTAATACTACAAAATATACGCACTGACTATTGATGACTATTTTACGAATTTACTAACTCAGATATTTAGTCTAACAAAAAATTCGAATGATCCATAGTATTATGACATTACTTTTTGTATAATATTTTGTTTTTTTTTTAAATTTTATTTAACGTAAAAACATCGGTTACTAGGTCATTAGTTCTAGTCACCTGGCAGGCGAGATGGCTTGCCACCAGGAAGGCGGCCTGGACGCACCGCGTCATCCCTGACTTGGGAGGATGGCTAGGAAGGACTGTCCCGTGGGTGCCTCTGACGTTCCACATGACACAGGCACTCACGGGCCACGGCTGTTTCAAATGGTACCTCCATCGCATGAACAGGGCCGCCAGCCCTCGTTGCTGGCAGTGTTAGGGCGAATCAGACACCATTGAACACACTCTGTTCGATTGCCCCCATTGGGACGGCTTTCGTGAAGCCCTGAGCGCCAGGATTGGCCATCGACCGAGCACTGACGACGTTCCGGACATCATTTGCGGACCGGTGTTCGAGCTCTTGCCCGCGTCCGCTCACTGGAAGGATGCGATCCTGAGAGAAGCCGAAGAGCGGTTCAGGATATTCTACGGCATGGTGGAAAACATCCTTTCAGTCAAGGAAGAAGAAGAACGAGTGCGACAGGCTGTGAACTGACGGAATTCAGCATAGAATATTGTTAGCTGAAAATTGATTTGTAACCTAAGGCAATTAGGGAGAGCAGAGCTCCGCCGTTATGTTATATATATATAGTCCAATTTTGTTTGTAATAGCAGTGAGTGGGGGATTGGCCCTTCGTTGTTAATTGTTGTGTGTTTTTGTTTTTGATAATAAATGATGGGGGCTGGAGGAAAAGTAATGGCACCATAGTTCCTTCTCCAGTCCTCGATATCATAAAAAAAAAAAGGCCATTTGTTCTTAATATACATTTGTTTTGTGTTTCAGTTACATTTAATTTGGCTTTTAATGGGCATCAATTAGGTTGTATAAATAATTTCCTTTAGGAAGTTAATGATGTTGTTGTTTGATAGGAGATCTAATTGTAAGGCTTCACTTAACTGGTATAGTGGTATGGTATGTAGTGTTTGATTCTTGAGTCTGCGAACATTAAATATTCAGTTAGTTTGACGGTGACTCTACACCGCACGATTCACAGGTGGGAGGGTCTTTACTCGCCATGAGGTGAATATGCGTGTTACTAGGGTGGGCCCAATTCGAACGTGATTCAAAATGGTTTCATCTTTCTTGTTTAGGATTGGGTTTTTCCATACTTGGGTATTATTTTTTTATTGTGTTTCATATAGTGTTTGGTATTGTCCAGTGATTTTTTCATTTTTGGTTTAGAATCTTTTGGATAAGTTTTTTTAAATCTAAAAATTTGCTTAGGTTTAGAGTTTGAGTGCTGTAGATTTGGCTGCTTTAGATGCTTCTTAATCTTCTAATTCGTTTCTGTCTATTCCACTGTGTAAGGACAATGGACATCCATAGAAAATATATCACTTTCCCCTTTTGGCGTGTTTCGTACGTATTTTCTTGAATAAGTTTAGATATATCTGTTGGATTATTCATGCCTGTTAAGCTACTGAGAGAGTATCATTGTTTTTCATCGTATTTTGTGCTGCTTTGTATATATGTAATGCTTCAGCTGTATAAATTGAGCATTCTGTAGGGAGTTCGTAGGTAGTTTCCTATCACTATAGATATCCCAACGTTATAGTTTAGTTTGGACGCATCGGTGTAAATGTGTTTGTAGTTAAGGTATTTTTGCAGTGTATTTTTATTTATTTATTTATTTATTTATTTATTTATTATAATAGTAAACGTGTAACGTAACAAAAATACCTCCTGATAATGAATAGTCTGGTATATGAAATACGCCGGGTGTATAGTACACCTAAGATCCACCGCACCACCACCCGCACGCCCCACCACCTCTGTTCACAATCACATCGCAGGTGACACCTTAATCACAATACCTAATTATTCTAACCAATGTTAGAATTATACTTTTTCCCACCACCCGTTACAGCGGCGGCGACCGGCTACTGCCAGCCCGTGTTCTTTTTTTCCTTCTCTTCGCTTGCTGCTGCCGAACGAACAAGTTCACATATTTTTTTATTAAGCTGTTATATTTGTGGGCGATGGAGTAGCAACAGCTGAAATCCTCCCCGGCAATGTCCGCGGAAAGACGGGTGATACTCAAAAAGGATAATCAGACACCGACGGGTGTTTGATCCCTTTAAAGGTATGTGTGTATTGGTAAAATAAAAATTGTACATAATATCTGGCTGGTAAACATTTTTATTTCTTATTATTATTATCATTGTATATATTATATTTCTCCGTGTTGACTGGTAACCGTCCAGTGGAGCCATTGGGGTCTAGGCATGGTTATTATACATATTTTATTATTATACTATAAGTATCTGTTGTGTCTCGTCGTTTGCTCGTTGTGTAAATTATTTTTATTATGTCCGAGTTATACGCCCTGTTGAGCTTTCTCAGCATCAACTTCACAATATATCATTTTTCTCACATAACTTCTGTGTCTTGAGTTATTATTATTATTATTAGTATTACCCTCATTATTAATTCTTCCTGGTGTATGCATTTATTATAATGAACAATCAAATCCACGGTGCTCCGGCCTATCAAAGTCTCGGCTCGTGGTTGGCGACCTTGCTCAAAAGCGGCGGTCGACCACGGGGGCAGTTCAATTAAACAGTTTTTTGGATCGGACCACGATCGAACTGTCACAAACGCGATAGTCCCTTGACATTTATATAACATTAATAATTAACAAGATTATAATACACTATTACATACATAATATTAACAGATAATTATGTAATACAAAATAATTACACACAAGAAGATGTTTAGATGTTATTGGATCCATTAGCTAGTGTCATCATACGCAAAATGGGTTCATTATATAAGTAATTTGTCGCACAGAACGGGACCCGGAAAGGAGAAAAGTAGCGCAAATTAGCACCGGGAACATTAAAATTAACCCTCCCTAACATATCTGGAGCGTCAACTTCTCCACTCAAGAGTTTCGATAAGAAAACCAAATTAGTATTTTTTCTTCTAGCACTCAACGTCTCCATTTTTAATTTCACTAGAACTGGTGCATAATCATGTGGAAGGCAGTCAATACGAAGTACAAAAGAAGCAAATTTTAAGAATTTACGCTGAACACGCTCGATTTAGAAAGAGTCACTTAAATTCTGAGTGTAACAGATCACTACCCCGTATTCAAGGTGGGATCGTACAAATGCACAATAAAGTGCTTTCAAAGAACTACACATATTGAACTCAGATGAAATTCTTATTATGAAACCAAGCATTTTTAAGGCTTTGCACGTGATTTTTTCATTATGGAGATTAAAACTTAAAGTCCGGTCAAATGTGACACCTAGATCAACTACATGGCTACCAGAGAAACTTAAACTAGTACCATCAACTAGATAAACGTGCCGAATAGGGCTATGAGAACGCGTGAAAGACATATAATGACACTTGGGAATACAGATCTCTAAACCAAGCTGTCTAGACCAAATTACCAGAGCATTAAGTTCACTTCGGAGTAGATCGCAATCACGAAAGGAATCAATGCGAAGGAATAATTTTATGTCATCTGCAAATACGAGAAATCGGCAATTCTTTAATACGGAGCTGATGCCGTTAATGATTAGAGCGAACAATACAGGGGATAAGTGACCACCTTGCGGCACACCTGACGTAATGTTAACCATACTTGAACACACACCATTTAATTTTAGGAAATTTTTTTCTACCCGTTACATAAGACTCAAACCATGATATGAGCGGTTCACCGAAACCGGTTGTACGGAGTACTTCTAACAAGGCTTTATGACTTACACGATCAAAAGCCTTGGCGAAGTCAGTGTAAATCACATCAACTTGAGAGCGATTACTAAAGGCATCAATTACATAGCTGGTGAAGATAGCGTCACAGTTTGTAGTAGAACGGCCAGAACGAAAACTATGTTGTTCATCCATAAGAACGTGATTAAAAAGACTTTTGAATCGATTGTAGAACAAGGGATTCAAAAAGCTTAGCAATGTGGCAAATTTTGGAGATTGGTCGATAGTTGGAGACATTAGACTTGTCACCAGCTTTGAAAATGGGCGAGACTGAACTTACTTTCCATATATCCGGAAAAAAACCTTCACTAAGAGATTTATTGAAAATGAGAAGTATAACATAAGACCGACCTTAGGTCAAGTGGGTTCAAGGTAGATTTAAAAAGAGCATGGGCTTTCTTTTTACGGATGACTAGGCGTTTTAAATCACTTGTAAACCACGGCGGATACGTAGACTTTTTTTATTTTACTAATGGAACAAAGTTGGACACACAGTAATTAAGAGCATGAGATAGAGCAAAAGCTGCCTCATTAGTATTTAACGCAGAAATAGAGTCACGCCAATTATAACTTAACAAAAAAGTTGTAACTTTTACAAAATCTGTCCTAATGAAGTCTGGAAAATAGTGCGAAGCATCGCAAGTAGGAATATTTTAGGAACTGACAATACCAAAAACAAGGAAAGGGTGATAGCTATCCTCGGGAACAACAAGGATATCCGATATTTTTATAAAGATTATTACGTTCACTGCTAAAGACTAAATCTAATAAGGTATCATTAGTATTTATTATTTCATTCAATTGGAAGAAGTTGAGAAAGGCAAAGGATTCAGGGATACAAGAAATACGCGCACCTGATAGGGAGGAATAGATAAGACCCGTTTCATCATTTGACCATAGTACATCTGAAAGATTAAAGTCACCACAGACAATAAAAACACAAACATTATTATTCGAAACGATACTCTCAAGTTCCGAAGTAAATGACTCATAAACACCAACAGGTGAGATAGGAGGGAAGTAGACACCACAGATAATATACGAGATTGAGTTAAAATATATTTTTATGAAAACCTACTCAGCCCCCATAAATTGGGGGACAGGTATTTCCAACGCACTAACATCGTTGTTCACTGCTATGAGAACACCGCCACCCCTATTATGGACACTAGTAGTACAGGACCTATCACATCTAAACACATTATAATTGATTAACCCAAGTTCGCTAGAAAAAATACTATCATTGAGCTATGTTTCAGTAAGAATAACTAATATAAAATTAAATATAGCTACATTAACATTCACGGTAGGAATCTTAGTTCGGAGACCACGGCAATTTTGGTAAAAACCAAAAAAAAGTGAGTCTAAAGGACAATTGGTACTAGAGCCGAAAGAAACACTAGATACATTTACATTAGAAAACACATTGTTTACAATAGGTGAACAGTTACTGGCAGAGACGACACAACCCGGAACTAGTTTTTTGGCGCAGAAGGCACCATAATCTTCTCAGGCAGCAGTCTTCCCCAGAAACGTTTGATAATGATCCCTTCAGGCCAAAAAGTTAGTTGAAGCACATCATCCAGTAGAACAATATTGGCAGCCGGATATGGAAGGAAGCATAAGATGGGTAAGTGGTGACCATCTGGGTGACAGTCACATCCATTTTATTAGTGAAAAGTTCATTCATTACTTGAGCAGAAGTAACGAAGTTTTTTAAGATGTCTCTAAACATTTTGGGGCTTGTGCTTTCTTTTTTGAATTCTGAGATTTCTAGTTTTATATCAATGTGCATTTTCCAACGGGGAATGTTTTGGGATTTTTTTACTAGGTGTTTTATGTCTATTTGACATTCTTCAGCTTCTTTTATGATTTGTGCTAGGTATTTGTTTGAAGGGTTTTCAAACTTTATTAGAGATCTGGCTGTATAGAGAAATGTATTATACTTTCTTCTAGCTAAGTTTTTCAAACTTTTGATAGGTCTGGATTTGAAGCACCCTGACTTTTATTACCATCATGGTTACCAATAATATTGTTGATTTTGTACAAAAAAAATATTATCTAATAATGTGTTTTATTGGTTCATCGACATCATTATTTTCTACTTTCACATGTTGATTATTTTAACATTAAATCCTGAAAAATATTAACTTTTTCCAAAATGTCCATTTATGAAAAATTTGAAAAATTTAAAGCACACTCATTTGTTGCATTGTATAAAATATGAATACATAATAATATAATTTGTAGATTCAAATTATTAATATAAAAATTAAAAATTAAGGTAGCCATTATAATAACAAATGTTGATTTTATCAATAACCATAATATGGATGAAATAATAAGTTTCCGTTCTATTCGTTTTTTTTTATTTGGGTCAACCAAATCATGTTTTAATGTTGTATGGTATTGTCTAGTAATAGTTTAATCAGTGTTTCTATGGTTACCAATTTCACTAGCATTCTTTAACTTTTATAGACTATGACTAATTATTAAGTACTCATTATTTCTCATTAAACTTCATTCAAGTTTTCTTAGTTGAAAATAAAATAAACTCGGCGGTTTTAAATTATAAACATTAATAAACGTTCCTTTTTACTTTCTAATTTAACCTTTTCATATAATTGAACAACAAATTGTATTGATATTTTTTGCAACGGTGTTGACTTTGCGCATAATATTTGTTTGCGAAATTGTGATTATGATAGTTCGTTTTTCTACACTTCCTTATCACAAAGGCAAACGATATTTATATTATTATTATTATTATTATTATACTTTACACTTTAGAGTTTAGTCATAATACTTTAAAGTCACGACCAATCCATCGTCTTAAAGTAATGATTTTTTTATACATAAATTCCCTTGAACACTTTTACGGATGATGGTGTATTCTGTACGGTGTAAATGTGCTCGAAACTTTCCATACCTATAGTTCTCCACGTCTAGCTCTTCTATATGATAAATTCTGGAAATCCGACACAATATGTAATTCTCTAAAAGAGAGATTTTGAAATGTCCGGGTAGTTACAATATCTTTACTGTGTTTAGTAGTACACTTTATGAACCCGTTCTGGCTTTCATCGTCGTGGTAAGTAGTACCATTGTTGGTATTATGTATATATATATAACAAAATAAAATAAAAAATACTGGATGATTTTGTCGTCCAACAGTCCGTATCGTTTGACAATTTTTTGTTCGTTTTACTGTCATAGGAATTCTAGCCATGTTGTAATAATTAATTAATGAATATTAACCCGTTATTGGTCACGTGGGGAGGGATTCTCGCCCCACGATATTATTTTGGACACCACTGTATTTCACATCGCTTATTGCCTAGTAAGTAGTAGTTATGCTATACGTTTTCGGATAAATAAAAATTGTACGGGCCGGATTATATAATAATAATATACGAGTCCGGGCACCAAACTCCTTTTTTTTACGCCACTAACACCTAGGTCTATAAAATATATTATGGAGGACTAGCTGGGTGTGTAGTGGTGTAATAGCTCGAACAGCAGTGGTCGGGATTGCCGGGCAAATACTGTCGAGCTATGTAGTGTATGTTGTGGCTTATGTGTATTTGTATATTAATGTGTGTATGTATGTAGATGTGTGTACAATTAAACAAAGAATAATAAAAATGGTAACAAGGTTTCTGGTAATAACTAGTGGCTGTATAATACAAATCTAAATAATACTGATACAAATATATAGAAAATCACAGCAACACAGTAGGTATTAAAATATAATATAAATAATCAATCAAAGCCCTTATGGCTATAATGGTATATATAACTTAGTGCACGGCTCTTATAGCCAGTAGCATGTATTATAATAATTAAAGGATGATAATGATTATACGGCCCTTATGGCACGACAAAATAATAATATAAAATATAAAGATAATATGCGGCCCTTTTGGAACGATACTATAACGATTACAAAATATCTGTGGCCCTCATGGCTCACAAGATTTAAATGTATAATAAATAAACAATAACAAAAAAACTTACAATTTGTGGAGCGCAGACTGGCCAACTGGTCCTATGCTACAAAACTATAAAATAAATACAAGAAAATAATAATAGACAATAGTTAGGTAACAATAATATAAATATCTGCGGCCTTTATGGCTTACAATAATAAATAATAGCAAAAATAATGCCTTTGGCGATTAGCACCAAAAAAACATTAATAATAAATTAAAAACACCGGCGATTCGCGCGCGGCAAAAAGGATATAATATAAAAAAAAACAACACTTTAATTATTCGACTTTTTACAATATTATTAAAAGTAATATTTTTTTTGGTGTGCGTTGAAACGGTCGGAACAACGTACGGGCAGCGACAAAATCACGGCGGCCGTGTTAAATAATATTTGCGTAGACGGCGCGGCGGCGGGCGATAACGTTTAATCTGCATATTATATAACTCACAAGACACATTCAATACAAAAATAAAACAATACAAATAACGTGATATGTGTGTGTGAGACCAGCTGTTCCTCCGTGACTAGTGATAATTACCTTCTTATTTTACTTGCTACCTACTATGTTGCGGCGGCAACAAAAATAATTTGAAAAAAATATTGAAAATATTTTGTTTAGGAAATATAAATGCCAAAATATATATAGTTTGTAAGTGCTCATAACAGAATAGTTAATACGAATTACATAAGAAATGTGTTTTGGTTGTTTAGAACATATTATTGTTATGATTTATGACACATTAAGAAAATGAGAGAACTTCTTGACACTCGACTAAAGGAGTACAACAAAAATACGCGATCAACAACGGGTTAATTGATAAACCTTGATGAGTTTTCCCGTTTAAATTATGTCAATCGAAACATTTAACGAGCCAACATTTTAATATTTCGATATCTATATTCTGTTATTTTTCCATCATGTTATTTCAGACTAGTGAACTACGTGCTTATATAGAACATAATATTTCATATTAAGAACTTTGTGCAATTTTGCAGCTCGCAGCGTGTCCTCTTCTGTACTGGTTTTTCATCGAAGACAATGATAATTTTAACTTGTCGCTGACATTTCCGTCATGACCGCCGCGGCGTACTGAATTAAACGTATTTTAGTTAGGTATTTTATTATGATATAAGATTGTTGTTTCCCTCAGGGGATGCACTAAAATGCAGCGTGTCAAACGGACCTGGGTCCCCGAGCTCGACGAGGTTGGTGATCGAGTTTGGACTTGACAGACCCATCTCATTAAAATTAATTTTGTTAGGCAGCAGCAATGGTGCATCTAAAATGTTCTCATGAGGGCCCCTTAGAAAATAATAATACAATGAGCATTGAACAATATTGTTGACATCAGCGTCGCCCAACAATAACCACAATGGATTAAAATTTTTTTTATTACTGATTGACCTGCGTCTTGAAGTTTCGATGTTACACTGTTATAGATAAATATGAATTTAGAACATAATTTTTTTTGTAGACTTAAATAATAACTCAAATTTAACTCGAATTTCAGATTATTTTTATATGAATTTAAATTATAAGTGTTAATAACGTCTAGGACCTAAGTCTATAACTTGTAAACAGCAGTATATTATTTTAATACAACGGCTGCAGTATTATGATGTAATTAGTCAAGTACGTATTGTCGATAATGTTGAGTGCACATTTTTTTTATGTAATATTAAGTGTAGTTGCCTTCGGCATTATTCTTGTGAGTTGTTTTTCCTAAATGTCTTTAGTTCTGTTGTAGCTATTGGTATAGAATTGTGGTCTGCTACACTGCTACAGGTGTATACAAGTCTAAACAATTTTAAATATAATCTTCATAATATTGTTTAAGAATTGATGGTAAATAAACATTCAGAGCCTACAATTTAATATTTATTATCTCATAAAACAGTAAGTAATAAACCAAATAGTGATACCACAAAATGCACCTTCAACAACTTTTTAGAATCATATTTATTTTATGGCCAGAACATATCCATCCGGTTCTCAATTGTTATCATTTAAGTTATGATTTGACCATAATTGAAGAAACCCAAGCATATGAGTGGATCGAGCAAAATTTTTTTTTTTAGACCTCCAATGGATAATATACCCCTACCCCACGTGCCCTCGGCATAAGGCGAGCAAAAAGCAGTGCATTAATACTACTAAATACGTAATATATCATTTTTCTCTTATAATGGAGAATAATGGTATAGCGGAAACAAGGTGAAACGTAAAGTAAAAAATTATAATTATATAAAATTAATAATTCTAGAGTGCTGATAGATGTTTTCTGAATATATTATTTTACGATAATAATTTATGGTATTTATTTCAAAAACGATTCACCCACTGCAAAATAAATAGTTAGTTTTCCTATTCCTAGCTAAAAAAAATACGTGAATACTATAATTAAGCGTTCCACTGAGCTTGGCATGAAATTATCATTATATTATCATTACTTTTAAACATTTAATAATAACTCACGAATTGCATAATATGTACAGGGTGCTACAGAAAGATGTAACAAATGTATTGATAACCAGTGTTATTTTGTCTATATGATTAATAGACACTACTACAACTACTAATTACTCATTATTATCTATTAAATATATATAAACAAAAAAAAAATAAGAAATGTTGATAAAGTTATTTCATTTGCATATCTCTGTTACACCAATACGCCATGTATATAATTGTATCATTATGAGTGCCGAGTCAGACGAGCGCCAGTCTCTATATTATCGTTTCGCTCTCTTTTATTGTTATAATATCGTGTTTACGACCAAACATTTGGAGAAATAAAGTAATCTGCCTCATGAGTTGTGAAGTATTTTTTTTTTATTATCAACAACTGGAACAGTATAAACGTCAGTTGTAAACCACCATATACATTATACAGCAATAGTCTAAGTACTCTATACTTAGGTTTTTTTCATATTTATATTTATTGTAGGTATTCATGAATAGTATTTATTCGTTTTTACATTTACGTTGAAAATTTTAAATATGAAAAATGTCAAATGTATGTAATAAATTCATACACAGTGTATACAATTCAAATAGTCTGCAGCAGTAAAAATGTATGGTATCTCCACCACTACGGTTTATACTCGAATTAATAAAATAAGTACCTAAAGTATAATAATTATTTTATTTTATTTTCCTATTACGGGTGTACAAGTCATCGACAGTGAAAATATCGCCATAAAAATATGAATATTCTTAGAATCTGCATACTATTAAAACAATTATGATTATTAATTAATACGCTGTCATATTAAACAAACTGTGTAAATAAATGGTTCAATATTGAAATGGATTTTTAGTTATTTTTCAATTTCGAAAACAGATAGTCTTTAAATTCTATCGTTCCTTTGTGGTTGGCTTCGTTGTATCCGGGTAACGTTGTCTGTGCAGCCTTAAACCATCTCAATATGTTAGGGTAGCTGGTCAGTTCGTAGCCCACAATCTACAAAAACAATAAATATTTTTAAAATGTTTGTGCCAGTTAAATTTACATAATTTCATACCTATAGTAATTTTATATAAAAAAACATTTTTAAGTAAATCCAATTACAATTAAAGCAATACATATTTATTCATTATATTAATATGCGCACATCTAAACATTTTACCAAATACATTTTTATTTGAACTGTTTTGAGGGTTCAGCAACCATTTTATTGAATTTGTGTAAAAAACTAAGTATACAATTTAAATGGGTACTTAGTCGAACGAAATTTGACTTTAAAATGCAAACAACACGTTTACTCATTTCAACGAAAAATTTGTTTTCTATTTAGTAAATGTATGCAAATTAATTTATAATAAATTTCATCACAACAGAATAATATATGTAAAAATGTTTGAGATTTTTTTTTGTTTTAAGAACACAATTAAATTTTAAAATTACCTCCAAACTTGATATAGTGACCACTACGACGATATCGGCGAGGGTTACTTCGGGTCCGGCTACCCACTTAGTTTTTGCCAAATACGCATCGAGTATTTCCAAGGCGGCTTTCAATTTCGGTAAGGCAGCAGTTCCAAACTGTCCGGTCATGAACACTGGACTCTAATTAATAAAATTGAAACCTACATCATTTGATTTACATTGTATAGGTAGGCCAATGAAATGACGGTACGTTTGTCCTTAAACTATTGTAAACATGAAATAAATATTAAATAGTCGTCTCTCTGTAACTCGAACATTGACACCTCTAAATTCTCGATTTCTCAAATGCATCAAGTTTTCCTTTAAACTTCATGACACCTATAATATTGGGTTTTTGATTGCTCAAATTTACCTCCGCCTCTTCTACTCCTTGACATTTGAGTGACTGAGGGTCGACTGTGGGTACCTAACCTAACCTACCTTTAAACTCTTAATAACAATAATGATTCTAATATTGTAATAGATGAGTAGCAATAGTAGTAGAAGTAGGAGTAGTAGTAGTTGTTGTCGAAGTAATAAGTAAATCTTCACATTATGTTAATCTAATCGAGAACTCACAACATGCAAGCAATTGAAATAACCATCAATAGACATAATAAATAATGCGAACAAATTTAACTTTACATGCATTTACTAAATTATTTCCAACAGCTGTCCCATTAGTTTGAACTATTTTATGGGTTAATAAGATTAGCAAATCAACATAGTTCATTGAAATGTGAAGAGATTCGCTAGAATGAAGAATTTAATCGGTTGCATTCAACTGATTTTTATCCATGGAAAATCAGAACAGATTATTTTTTGTCTACAGAATTGTTCACTTTTGTAAATAGAATATTTTTATTTTCCGTCAATGGTGTCAACATCTTGAAATCCTTGGACACTATATATATATTTGATTGTGTATTTTATTTATATATTTTATTGATGATTCGATTGTGTTTTACAAGTAGTCAGTTTTCGTATTACATTGCTTTTAAAAATTTTGTAACACTAATGTAACACTCGTCTGACTTAAGGCTAATAATATTATATGTCAACGATAATGAACGATGTGAATGAATAATTTAAACTATTAACAAAAGTGACGGTTTCACTCGCAAGTTATACATTTTGTATGGAGATAAATTATGATTAAATTTACATTATTTAAAATATTATTTTATGAATTTATTGTGTAATTGAAACATGCATTCAATAGAACGCCCGACGAGAAAATAACCAAAGGTTATTAACTTCGTACATAGACTATTTATGAGATGCTGAATTCTAAAAAATCTTACTAAATGTAATCATAACAAAAATTTGGTTTGGCGCACACGGTACGACATTGGGTCTTCTGAAAAATGTCTTTAAAACTTAAGGATTAAATAACTCCAACTTAAGTAGAATACGTATGTCAGTTTTGAAAGATACAATAAATATTATAAATTATTACTATTGTATCCGTAAAGCTATTAATCCCATTTCATTTCGCCGATTGTACTTTCTTTTCTATTTTCTATTTTATTTTATATACATAGTTTTCTTTTCTCTCTATTTATTCTCTTTTTTCTTTAAAAATTAAATTAAAATTTTGTTTAAAATGTATTTCTTCAGCATTATATTCATTAGGCGTTTTAACCTAACCTAGCCTAACCAAAATACCAAACTATGTATATTAGTACTGAATTTGTGTACTTTGTCTCTTGGCAACCCACGAGGTGGGCAGTTAAATAAAGTTGTGATATATGTAATATGTACAAGAAATCAGACAAAAATCAACACAATTTGAGATAACTTTATTCGACTGTCTGCTATATATTTTCATTATTTCCTTGAAGAAATATTTGATAGATGTCGATGAAAATATGATGTCAAACGCAAGCGTTTGAAGGTTTTTTTTTATGAAAATTACGAGAAATTTTTTATAATATTATTACTCATATACAAGAGCATTATCTTTATATAATGATATGATTTGAACTTTTGAGTAAAAAAAGTTTTAATCTGAACTTAAAAAGAAGAAGCGAGATGTGGGATGTTGTCTTTTAAAATTCATGTTGTGTATTGTCGATGGTTATCAAATTTAAATTACTAGCACGTATTGCTTAGTGGGCTTCTTTTGTTCTATCAAAACACTAAATTCAAATTTATCTCAAATCTACTGAATTTTATAGCATCATGGTCAATCGATGATGCAGAAATCTAACATAACCAAAATAACTTTATTAATAACAACATTGAAAATATCAATAGTAATTAAAAAAACTTCATTTTATCATTCAAGATCACATCGATGTGAATTAAAATAGTTATAATATATTTAAGTATTTACATTAATTGATTTGTTCTAAGACAATATCATAGTTGATAATAGTAGTCTAACCAATGGCTCTTGCTGCCGAATTGTCATAAAGATCTGTATAATTTTGTCAATCGATGGATTTCAATGAAGACGAATATAACGGCAGTCAAGCGGCATCCAAACATAACATTAGTAAAAGTTAAGTTAAAAAACCCGAATAATTTTATGAACCACTTACACAAGTAAAACGTACATCATATGAATATATAACATTATTTTTTTGCTCTTTTAATTTCTCGTTAAAAAGATTATAGATATGGCTTTTTTATGAGTGTAAAATCGGTCAGATTCACGAATAAAAAAAACTCTCACGAGGTTGATTGGGAACAAAATAAAATACAAAGTTGTCTTTCATTCGGGATTTTACTTAGAGATGTTCTCCTCGATAAGTAACTACAAAGGAAGTAATTGCAAATGCTTAAATTCAAAAAAAAGGAAGGACCTAAATTTTCGAGAAGTGGTTAGAGCGTCGTTTGAAATTACGTATCCAAAGAAAGCGTTCTTTTGTGTACACAATATTTTTAAGTTCGATTAAAGGGGACGCCTACTCCTTAATAAGTGCATTGTAGTACTAATAGTTTCATGAAATACTGAACACATCGTATTCAGCTGTATAAAGAACATGAGAATAATATATAGTTTTTTAGGGATGCTAGAGCATCGTTTCTCAACCTTTTTAGTGTCGCGACCCCCAAAATAGGTATAAAATATGGTCAATCACTTTGCGACGCTCGCCCTCCATCTATGTTAGGTAAAAATTTGAACAGTAAAAATATCCTATCATTAACCAAACGAAATATAACATTTTAAATAACAATTTATAAATACCATATCTATGTATATCCTTATCGGGATGATTTTATTATTATCATTTTAATTTTTGTTTTTCAGTTAAAAGTCTTAAATATTTAAATAAACATTTTGTAAATCAGCGTTCTATTATTTTTGACCTACGCGACCCTAAGTCAAGGTGTTTGCGACCACTTGGTTGAGAAACGCTGCGCTAGAGTGTATTTCACCTAACAATATATAATAGTTATTATGGATTTATTTGTATTCATTTTTAAATTGTTTGGACTAGTCAAATTTAGTTTTACCAATATTGTGTAAGTCATTCAAAGGAATCGTTATATTTTTATCCAAAATAAGATAACATTTTATAATATTATGATAATATAATTTTTGTACAACGGCATCATCAACATTTTTTGTAATTATTATAATGGTAATTATAATCCTTCTATTAAAAATTAAGATTATTATATTGAGATTAAACGTCCTCTTTTGAATATTTTATTTTTATTTTTTGTTATTATTATTGTATAACTATAATTTATATTGTGCGGTAAAAAAATATTGTTTACCACAGTGTTTTAATATGGAAATTATTTTAAAAGACTGTAGTTAGCACGCTACTTATCTATCTGCGGTGAAATAATCTTAAAACGATAAACATATTGATCTGTATTTTGATGGTCTATTATGTAAATGGAACAGAACATTTTAATAATATTATACAGTGTCAATCGCCAATCATGCTATTGTCCATTGTGTCATTTAGTAATGAGTTCATTCAAATTCTGATTTTTGGAATTTTGAAGTATACTTAAAGAGTATATTTTTAAATTCTCATAAGATTTTTAGTATTAACAATAAGGACTACGCGTTGGTGATAAAAACTTTTGTTTTTAAAAATATTGTTTCTTCACAGGACATTCAAGTACTAACCTTCAAGAAACAAAAAATAAATCTCAAAAATGTTAAAATGTAAGATCTATAAGTAGGTATATTTACATTTTTTCGGATTTTTAATAACTGCCTTATTCAAGGCATATATGGGGTTAGCATGCTTGGTGAATCACTCTGTAATCATGGTACCAGTACATAAGTACGTACTGCGTGGTATTATGAGAATTATAATAAAAAATAAATAAAAAACTAAATGTGTTATAGCTGTAATTTGCATATTGATTGAAAATAACAATCTTTGTGAAATACAAAAAAAACGAGTAATAATTATTAAAATTACACTTGAAGTAATCAACTATAGTTTTAAATTCTAAATTATTTATAAACTATCGTGTTAAATTACTAAATTAGTACTTTAGTAATTAATTAATGTTGTTAAATATCTGGTTTCTCTACTGAAAAATTGTTGCAGAACTGTTTTTTCGTGTTTTGATTTTAATACTGTAAAATTGGTATAATAATAACTCTGATAGTGTTCCACCATATCACAAATTAAATTTTACTAAGTGATCGTGTAATAACATTACGCGGAGATCTGTTTGTGTGTAACGTTTTATTAAAGTAGTCTTTTGTGCAGGAGTCAAATCTAATAAGCAAAATTGCCCTAAATCATTAATTATATTTAGTTACCTACTCAACTAAAAGCTATTTTATTCCTTATCGTTTACAGACTTCACCTTTGATTATATTATGCACTAAACGTATACCTCAGTCGTTTACTTTCTAAATTCTTATTTGTAAGTTTTTAAGTGAGTTTTTCGTACGGTATATTATTTAAAAAAATATACGGTTGGAAAACATAAACCATAATACACATATGGGGGGGGGGGCACAACTGCTAATTTGATAAATGTCACATTCTTTAAACTTTAAATTTTTGGATAACTTATAAAATATAAATATCATACAAACGATTTTTACAATAAACGCAAGAGATGAATTAGAATAACTTATTCTACTTGTCAGGTGTTTAAAGTGAAGAAACTTTTATGTAACTCCACATGATATGAACGATATTCAAATTGGATTTCAAGTGATTTTTTTTATTACTTATGATTTGTTATCAAATTCTCAGTACAAGGGATTTTGCGCGGTGAGGTGAGCTTAATATTATATTAAATATTTCATTTTGCTTATTCATTTTACGTTTTTTACTTTACGTGTTATATAATTATATACACATTTAAAATATGTTACATACGTGTAAATCAAAGTCGTATTGAAAATATAATAATTGAATCGAATGTATTCCGTGGGCATATATTATTAGCATAGATGAATTTTAATAAATATACTATAACATTCAAAAAATAAAAATTACTCGAAATGGCAAGAAAATATTATTGATGTATGTATTCACAGAAATTAAAACTTTTTGTACTTTTCTTTAATTGTATCAATTGATTGGGTAACTTTACATAATTATTAAAAAAAAACGAAAAACACTACTCATGGAAATTATATTTTTTACTATCAATTATTTGAATTGTTGTTAGGTAGATAATGCGTATACTCACGAAATAATCGGATGCTCTTCTGTACAGAGATCCCAAATCGAAATCAATGCGGTGATCAATTGTCGCTCTTTTTTGTAAGTCTTTTGGGTAGAGCTGCTCTTTGGAATACGCCCCAGTAGCTAAACCGTATTTTTCGACAAGGTACTTGCAGATCGCTCGGCTAAAAAATATTTTGAACAATATAAGAATGCGTGGTTCTACCCAATGTCGGTAGGTTTATTTTACTGATTTTTAATAAGTGGTAATTTTTTTTAAATAATAATAATATGTACAGGTACGAGTATTTAGTATATATTATTATTGTACAAACAATAAATAATCGAAAACAAACTGTTTCATAAAATGTATATTATTTTGTTATTCGAGTACACGTTTTATGATCTTTAATGGGCAGCAAAAAGTACGAAAGTGTCACATTAAGTATTTGGTTTTGTTATAAAGCGTCTTTTTTACGAATAAGTCTAATATATTTTAACACTAAAAAAATACTCGTGTAAGTCAGTACTTTAAGGACTTTCATTTGTATACACTAAGTTTAAATTGAATTATCTATAGAGTTAGGAGTGATGAAATTGGATAAAATATTTTTAAAAAAACATTAAACATTTTCCATTTACCATTTTACTCTTTAAACATGTTTAAGTTGTGTTATTCTGTGTATTGTACCTGTATGACGTATTCTATGGGTACTAATTTGTATTTAATTTAACGAAGAGCGTGAGCTCTAATTGTGACACTTTTATGATGTATGCAATAAAAACACACAATACTGTTTAATAGGTAGAACTTACTTAAAAAGTTTATGATGGTAATTGATTAGTAAAATAGTTAAAATCTAACATGATATATTTTTATGAAAACCTTTTTTTTATATAAAATACAATCTTAATTAAATGAAAACTTCTAAAGATTATTTAACACCAGCTAAAAATGAATTTATCATTAGTAGGCAATTAAATAATTATGACATTATAAGTTGACATTTTCATAAAAATCGTACAATTATTGAATATTTAAATTGCCTTTGAACCCTAACAACATTTTTCGTGCCTTCGTGTTGATCTGTGTGTGTTAAGGTGTATGTTAATTTATAATTAATAATACTCATCAGAGCATACGTCTAGTGAGTAAAAATAAAAATAAAAAGTAAGTGGATATTTTTTTTTTAATTGAATATTGAAAATTGATTTATAATTATACGAATAGAACTCAGAAATGCAATTTGAACGAATATCATGCATTTTTGTTTTCATATTTCATATTGAACAGAACAACAATTCTTATAGTTAGACGAGTTACTGTGCAAGAAGTTTTAACGTTAATGCAGTTTTATTAGAAAACTTGAAAATAATAAGTGAGTAAACATTTTTGTTCCTTTTAATTACTGATTTATTTTGTACCCTGACTGCAAAATTGTCTAAAATGAATACTGACCGATTCCATTGACGAATTGAAATTTTAATAATAATAGACTTCGACAGGGAAAATATGAACAAATATAAAATTCGTTGCACTATATCGATTGATGAATTGGAGTACCTCAGTTCACTGGAAAATTGGCTTCAGTATACCAAGCTTTAATAACTAATTCAGTCAAGGTGGCTAATCCACCTGTGGCTAATATGGCGCCTGGTTTATTTTTTTAATGCGGTTCAAACTGCTTTCAACATTTTTTTGATACTCTAAGGACAAATTCTGAAACTCTCGTCACAATCAGTCCAGAAGTTTTTTAATTTATAAGCTATAAACATTTGCTTACATTTGTAAAACCAGCAATAAATTAAATATTATTATTTTATTTATTTATAAAAATGTCCCACTACAACGAAGGGTGGGAAGGGAAATTGTATTTATTTAACCAGTGGCAATCTTGTAAAATATAATCTAAAAATCATGTATGAGTCACCCCTTATCAACCTATAATAGGGGTTGAACAGATCGAAGCTTAAAACACCCCCCACGTGTCTGAATCTATATTGGGAATTATTATGATATTGTTGAAATCGGTCTAGTAGTTTCCGAGATTAACGCTTTCAGATGTGCGAATTCTTTAGCTTTATAATATTTGAATAAGTGACAATATTATAATAAATTACAATTTATAACAAATGTCGGAAACGACGTTCGCTATAGGTAATCGTGTTCACTCACCTTTCACTCAAAACAAAACCGTTGTCCACGATGGTCGGAATCGTATGCTGAGGGTTCAACTGTAACATCACAAACCGAACGAGAACGATGGTTGAAAAAAAAATGTCAAACGTACACGGCCGCCGATAGACGTATAAATGGTATACCGTCGGCCTCGTGGCAAAACCTCTCAAGTCGTTTTTATCAAATTGTGCAGCAGAAGCGAATACCCTCATCGGTGGGCTAAAATATTTTTTTTACGTTGGTCGATCGACAGACGTAGTTTTATATTTGATATTTTATCCTACTATGAAATAGCTGTCAAACATTAGTTACTATGATATTAAAATGTGGGTAGATGAATATAGGGTATCCATTTGGAAAAAAAAAAATTGAACATTTTTCGACTTACTATAATATGTTTTGCCAAGAAACCGACGAATATTATAGGAACCTACTTGTTTGTATTCTGGTTTTTGCGTGTCTCCTTTGCTCGGTGTCGTCACAATCGGATTAAGTTTGACGTTCAAAATATGGGCCACCAATTCCACTGTCCTGCACGGTGGACTCCACGAAGCGTAGTAGAAATCGATGGTCATTTCGAAGTTTTGAGGTGAAGAGAGTTGAACGAAGAAGAGCCGTGTCAATAATGCCCAAGTGTCTACGCCAAAGTGTTATATATATATATATATATATATATATATATATGTATAGGTAGACTAAAGTCGAACATTTTTTATGCTTTTTTTGTCGTCGCATCGCGCGATGTGTTACGCAATAATACTTATTGCCTCTGCGTTGGTTGTATAATGATGACAAAATATAATAGTAAAGAAATAATCAGTTTCTTCCAATGTTATTATTAAACGTGTTACATCTCAATAACGTCATTTGCATCGAGCCTACGTTATGGTACCTCGGCAGTATTTTTTTATCGACGAGCAATATTGTTGATGTCGAAGAAAAGAAAATATACCACCAGAATCAATGCAATACGTTCAAAATAATTGAGACAATTTGAAAACTCGACATAAATATTGGTGATGCAGAACGATATCGATACCAATTATTTAGTTTTGATATTGGTGTAACTATGAGTACAACGACATTCGACATTGTTATAAACACATTCGAGTTTATGTTTTAAATTTATTTACATTTTGACTGCAAACACGTTTAATGAGATGTCTTCAACCTAATCAAAATAAATATTTAATATTATTGAATATTATACTTATATATTATTTTTATGGATTTTTCTATTTATTATGTATATTTTTATCGCGTATAGGAATAATACAAAATAATAAATGTACAAAAACATTTTATTATGAGTATAAAAATACAAATTATTTACTTTCGATATTCCGATATTGGTGTCGATACTAAAAAAAAAATATCGTACTGCATCGCTATACCTAATAAATTCAGTAATATTATTATAACTGTAACACTCTCGAGTCTCGGGTCTTGATTTACTGCAGCTCAACGCAGTCGACATAATTTGTGTTGTCGTCGGTGAAGCTTGAACTGGCTTTTGTTTTCATCGTACACAACCATACTCAATGACTTTGTTTTGATATATTTTCTTGTGTGAATTGACCGAATAAACGGCGGAAAGCGCGATTGAAACACGTTCGCGTCTATATCGTCGCTGTCCTGAGTTCGATAAAACAAATACCTCTCAAATAACAACGGGTCTATGTTGCTCCGTTTTTTTAAAATAATTGAACATTTGAGATGTTTAAACGTTTCGGACTTGAAATATAACATAGGACAGGGTGAAATTGTTGTTGTTATAATTGCTATGTATGTCTTATGTTCGTTTGGCCAACTCCACAGCTCAGCTGCCTTGCTGGGTTTCGACTTTTGATTAATGACTCGTAAATGTTATTACAATAATATCATATACACAAGAATACAGTACATGTGTGCAGTAGTTGTACTAATAACAATAATAAACAATAATTTGTTTCACAAACAAATTGGTTGTGGCAACTTATTCACCGCATGACATAAATAGATGTGTGATTATCATGATGAGTATTAAATAAGTCGAGACAGATGTTATGATGTAGGATAGTATTATATTTGAAAATCTTATGAATCGGTGAAATATTGTTATAAATCGTATTTTTTTTTTTTTTTAATCCGAAGATTTGTTAGCCACGAGATTAAAATTATTTGGTCGACAACATGTTTATGAATAACAAATTCATAAAAACCAAAGTAAAAATATAGTCTAAGATAAATACCGCGGTAGTAAACATTATTGATTTGATGGTTTTTTTTTATTTACTTCTTATCAATAAAATATATTGAAAATAACAAAACACAAATACAACTAAGATATTTAAAAAAATAAATTATATGCTTCTGTCAAGTATGTTCACCTTTTACATTTAATGTAACATATTTTTTGATAATTGTAATACATTTTAATAAAATATTACGTTGAACTTTGACCTTATTTTATTTTTGGCATAGTCATATAGACAATATTTTGCTTTTATAAGAACACATATACGATACAGATATAATAATTAAAAATAATATTTATCTAACCATAAATTATGAATCTTATAAGTGTGATAATTTATTTTTATTTGAAGTAGCTTAACATGTCTATGTCTACATAGATATTATGATATAAGTAAGATGTGAGTTTGAGTTATTTTCTAGATAACATTTTTTTTAGATGTATTTCTTTCACTTAATTCAATCGTATGTGATTATATAATTTTATTTCTTCTCGTGACATAAAAAAATTGTATTAATGTACTTTGATAACAGTAAGGATATTTGGTCACATAATAAATTAAATGTCATACTTATTAAGTATTATCTAAATCAAACACTATTTGTCAACTTCCGAATCATTACCACTAAAACAACGATTTTGAATCAACAGTGGCCCGCTGGTCCGCAACAGTCACATGTTGGTCCATTTTCCGGTAGGTATCTCTTATATTCGGTCTGATTTACAAATAATAAGTATATGGCAGTGTTGACATTTAATAACGAAATAATTATCATTGAATTTTGAATAGGTTTTTTGGTACGCGGGCATAGCGAGTCTGTTTCTCCAGTATCACATAACCAAAAACATATACCAATATTAATGTTTTATAAATCTACCGTGGTAACGCCAACTAAACCCACTATAATCGTTCGTGATTTTTAACTGGTCATAATATGATGATATCGTATTTATTCGTATGTATATAAATATAATGTGGTGTTAAGATATTATTATCCATTTCTTTATTAATATTATTATATGATATAATAACATATTGTTTTAATATTTTTATAGTTGCAACAATACATTGGACAATTTCTCCGGAACTAGTTAGGTAAACATTTTCTTAAGAACGCGGGGGAGTCACGCAAGTTTTCTTGTCTCCGACTAAAGTATAAAACTCAGATCATAGTGTGCATATTATTTAAACGTATTATATGCACGACCTATTTCGGACGTTTTTAAGTTTTGGCGGCTCACAACATATAAAAGACGTTTTTTTAGTCGACGATGTGGCCACGAGTTGGAAACCTTTTATCAAAATGTCTCCGGGTATTATATATTGTGATCGATATCATTTTCAACAGTTTGTCGGAATACAGTTTACGCAGTGAGTGTGAGCAAGAAATGTCACAACCACACAGTTTAATATGTATTGGTTTGTAAAGTTAATAATACGTCATCGGCTGGCGTATTTCGGGACAGGTTTGTGGTTTCGAGGTGTGTCGTGTGTGGTGACTTTGAAGAACCTTTGACGCATTTCAGCCTCCCTTCAGCCCGTCGAGGACCATCTTCGACACCCGTCATGGAATCTTCACGATCTGTTCCAGCATCTCCTCACCACGTCGTGGAAAGTCATCGATAAGTAGAAAAAAATGTAACTTTGAAACTAAACGTTGAGTACCTATAGTTTGAAGCCACGTCCAGTCGCCACTGGGTAAAAGTCAATTAACGGAAAATCGGCAGCCCTTTTGATATAATATGAGTGTATAAAATAGGTATAGAGGTTACTCGCTGAAACCGAATCGGTAATCAATGTTATGGTACTGCATTTATAATACAATTAACAGGATAAAATAACTTTTTGAAATTTTTGCAAGACAAAGAAATGTGCTAAAAATAATTTCGTTACATTTTGTTGATTATTTTTTGTACATAAATTCTCAACGTTGTAAAATTTGAATTTGAAAAAAAGTTAACTTATTTGTTTGCCAAAGTTTAGGGGAGCGTAGATTTATCTGGCTGTTGCATATCATTAAACAGTGTACAGTATTCATTTCTTTAATAACTCCATTGTTAGTATTTGGATTTATCTGATTGTTAAATCTGTTTTTAAACATTATTTTCCTTTAAAATGTTTGCCAAAGAGTGAAATAATTCCAAAAAGTGGATTTATCTGGTTGTTGTAGTGTCCTATTTATTATTACAGCATGGTGTTTACAAATCAACACATTTTCAAAACGAACTATACTTAACAAAAGTTCCATAATAGTTTGAATGTATATATTTTGTTCACGCATTATTCATAGAATGTATACTATGAGATATTTTCCGAAAAAAAATTGATGTTACTACTGAGCTATGGAAAATTAACTTTAAAATTAACAGAATTATTTCTTAGTCGACGACAAAACAGCCGATCATAAGCCAACACCATAAAAAAAAAAAAAAAAACAGAGAGACACAAAATACCATCATATTCCATAGTAATTATGATATTATGCGATTGACAATCGCTCATAATATGGCTGTACATAATTTTATTGTTTGAAGTACCAAATGAAAAAATATTATGTTGTTGTGAATAAAACAAAATATCAGCATGGAAAAGAGAGATAACGTTAACATTTTCATTGTTGACACATGTATACAATATGTATAAATACCATCTTATGAAAGTTATAATATAAGTCGATTACACTTCGTGTGGGAGATAGCGGATTTCCCGTTATTTTCTATGAGAAATGTTTCGTTAAAACTTCTGAAAAGTTCAAGATAATTGTCTGCTGTATACTATGTGTTCTAATCGGACGTTTTGATTTAAAATTAAACCGTCCTCGGCGGTTGCGGCTATAGTGGCTACAAATGTACGTATAGAAAATTCTAGAATGAGCTCATAAAACACATACCAAGTACCAAGTGTCAGCCCGATTCTAAGTAAAATCGTTATGTATACCACAACTTAGTAGTTACATGGAACGAAATAATAAACATTTTTTAATTGCTAAAATGCCATATTAACTAGCGCTTAAACAATGTCAATTAAATTGTTTTTGATGGCGCAGTAATAACCTTTACAACATAACTCTTACATCAAATGCTATCGGTCAACTAATCGCACAACGTCAATACGTAAAACTCTATTTTTTCATAACATTATTTTCGATGATGTACGGCATTAATTTATGGTGGATGGAAAATTTAAACAAACTCAGTATGAGCCATAATTCAAAAAGGTTAATTTTTTTATTAACACATAAAACATATTAACTCGACAGTTTCATTTCTTCGAAGATAATAAAAAAAAACTCAAATTTAACTGTTTACACTACTTTAATGTATTTTTTAGATAATATACACATTCACTTTTTTCACAAACAATGTCATATGTATAATGTATATAATATCGCATTATATTATACTTCTCAAGGTGTGACCTATAGATAAACCGATGATTATCCATGGACAATTTTATCGAAACTACTATAACATTAAAGTGAAGGTCTTATAATGGTATTAATGGTATTAAATAGTTCTAATAAAAAATTAGTCACATATGATGATAGACAATTTTACTTCAATTTAACCGAGACTTAAATGGCGAGATCGACGAGACTAGATCGGATGAAATTATATTTTTATCAATTATTCTTGTTTTTTTGTAATTGTATAGTTTTTATTACATAGCTAAATTATATGTGTGCATTTTTAATGGAAATACATTTGTTAGACAATAATAATTACAATATTATAAAAACTTATAAAAAAATTAAAATTTGTGTTAAAAACAAAATATTTAACCATACTATATTATACGGATTTAAAATTTCGATTGATCGAGTATTTTAAAGATAGCAGATCAGTTCCCATTATCAGCGTTTAATTTCACACAAATTCAAATCATACATTATATTATATGCCATTATAATTAATGTACCGTTGGATCCATAACGAGTTTTTAGTCAATTCTTAATTTGCACTGAAATAATATTTTTTAATAATTATTACAAATATTACTCCACAAATTATCATTTATTCAAACCAAAAATATATTCGTACTTAGGTCGGTTCAACATTCCCTGTTCGACTACAGTATACAATTATTAATCATCAGCGACGGCGGTATTATAATTATTGCACCTGATATGATTTTTTTTCATATCAAAACCATTGAAAATCATTTTAATACTATATAGGCAGGTTGGTGAGCTTACGCATAGTGGTACAGTTGATTACTTTTTTATAACTTTACTGTGTGTGTTGATGGTAGGAGATAAAAACGACGTCGTTAGTACGCTGTCGAATAAAAGTTATTACGAATTTTAATAAGCTTTGTTTCATAAACTTTGGGAGGAAAAATAAAGAAAAGAAAGTCGTAGTTTTATAAACATCCATTTGTTGTGCAGGGCTGGAGCTCCCGTTACGCTGGCGCCCGCATATTAGACATTTAACTCGAAATTTTGGGTAAACGACTGTTGTATCATGTGTTCAGGTTTGTCACCACGACATTTTCATTTGTTCACTTCCAAAAAGGTGCCACTGCGAGTTGAAATGCCATATTTTTGTTAATTATTTTTTAACCGTTTATGTTACGCAACGATCGTGTGTACGGCTTCACTCGGCCCGCTTCATACTTCCATGTTATTATTGTTTGCCATAAAATAATTCAAAATAATAAGACAATGACGGAAAAATGTAAAAGCCGTTGAAAAGAATAGTAAAAACCTGCCCACTTTGATTTATAAACACCACCGGGAAATGCCCGCTGTTATGGCACATGTTTTTCTTCCGATGCCAAAACAAAATGCAAAAAAACTTCATTCATTTTTTCTCTTTAAGCTCACCATAATAGGTTTTCATTCTTCGTTTAACGCACTATTCAAACACATTTGTGTACCTACTATATATAATATACATTATATCGGACAACATTTACGTTCTGACTGCCGATTCTTGTTTTTTATTTTATTTTTAATGCGAGCACCACTCTATTTTTTATTTTTTATTGTCGGCCAAGTTGTGTGGAAAACACGATTCGTTTGACATTTGCGGAAATGCATATTATAACATTTAAAGTGTAAATGCTATATTACGGTCAAAATCTGATAGGTTTATTACATTTTATAAGAAATTCTTTGTTTTCATCCGTTGGCATTTACATTCATTTTTTTATTCGATTTATTTTTATTATTTTACTATGACGTAAGCTATATTTACTTTTATGGAAATATCATACGGGAGACTGACAACTTGATGAGGATGTATTATTATATCCTCCAATAGGCATGAAATACTTTGCATTATTATTTTACGAACATACAAAATAAAATGAAAAATCTTATGAAGATGGGCGAATAAAAACATTGAAAAAGTTTAAAACTAATCAAAAGTTCAAATATCTAAATGTCATGTTCATTTTATTTTTTTGAGATGATATATTTTATTTGTTCATATTATTATTTATGATTCTGAACGGAGCTAGAAATTCATTGCTACTATAATGATGAGATTTTTTTCGTTATGTTTGTCATCATGTTTTAAGACCAAAAATTTGTTACAATGATCTTCAACTTTTGATTTTGTGCTTATGTTGGAATTAAAAAAGAAATAACCCTATGGACTTCTGATTTTCGCCAAATATTAATTTTAGCATTTTCATTTATAATTTACACAATACAATTTTCAAAATATTGAGACTCATCTCAAACTATTTATAGACATTTGTAGTCTCAGATTTTTTTGTTTTTTTTTTCAATAATGCAATATATTTGCGTGTCTATATTAAAAACTAACTGGATATGATGAGTATTTTAAAATTTAATTCATGAAAATAATTGTAAAACAATCAACAAACGTAAATTAATTTTTTATGAATCCATTTTACAGCAAGTTTTTACATTTTTTAAATACACCTTTGGGTCTGCCCCTTTGATAAATTTAAATTATGTTTACAACCGAAAAGTATATCAATTAAAAGTGGTCCATAAGACCATACCCCAAAATAATCTATTTAAAAATTAAAAGTCACTTTACTATGTATTTCAGTTTTACTGTTTGAGAATTTTTTTCAACTCTTCCACTCATCAGTAGTTAAATGGTTGGGTCAATAAATTATAATTATATTATTCAAACATGAAACGTTTTTAATATATAGTACTTAATTCTATCGATGTTTTTATAATTCATTACCATAACACGTCGTGTTCATACTATTGTCGAACTTTTAAACGAAAACGTGGAATGAGAGTCAATTTTAATTTTATTTCTATAATAATATTTTTGGGCTATTATAGTGAATTCGAGAGCTAATAATACAAAAAAAACCTTCATTCCTAATAATAATTTGTTATTAAAAGAAAATTGAATTATATGGAATTGTATAATCGCATATTATTATAATAATTATTATATTATTATTATGCTACAATTATTATGAAAAGTTGAGTTAAATTTGCCAGAAAATTCATACTGAATTATTTTTAAGTGTTAACATAACTTAGATTATTTAAAATAAAATAAAAAATTCACTTAACAGTGGTGGATTTAAAGAAAAAGGTCCTGTTGGAATTTCATTATTTTTGGGCCTACGTTATTCGGAAATTGGTAAATTATACATATATTTATGAGATACCAAAAATATTTTTATTAAAAAAAAATATCATATGTGGTACAGTTTTAAAAGTTACCTACTTACTTACTACAGCAAGCTTAAAAAAAAAATATTATTGCAATGTTACTTTATAGTCGACTATACATTTAGCTGATAACAATAAACTATATAAGTAATAAAAAAGAAAAAGGAAAATAAAAATAAAAAGATAAAATACATCTTGTACAAGCGTTGAATTTTAACAAAATAAAACAAATTTGTAAATAAAATATTG